ACAGCAGCGCTGCGCCGCACTGCAGCAGCAAACTTAAAGACCTACATTTCATAAGTTTAGAATTTAACCTGACATACATTTGATAATTAAATTAAGCTTGAATTTAATGTTAATAATAAGGATTAGTAGATCAATTTTATCATAAATGATCAATAAAAATCTGACCCTTTGCAGGTAGAAGTTATCTGGTCAGAATTGTCCCTTCTTTTAGGCTAAGCAGAAATCCCTTCTGAGACAGTAGATGGTGAGCACCTTGCATAAATGCATTAATTTTATTCCACTGAACAATGGCAGGTCAAAGCACTGGTGTAAAATGTGTGTGTGTGTGTTTCAAGACTTTATTCCCTGTTACATACAGTATTTTACTAGAGAAAAGTGAATTTCTAAAATGAAATTGCTCTTACGTTCTGTACATCATACTGGTCACATTGGTCTAAAATATGGAAATCCAAAATTACTCCCAAAGCAGCTGTTTATATTATTATTCGTGTATGTGTGTGAAAGATAATATATTGTAAAACACTTTTTATAGTTTTATCTAAGAATCAAAAATATGTTATGTCAGTGATTATAATTTATTACTTTTATTATATTGTGCAACATGTCTTCTTTGAACCTTTATCAATTCCCTCATCAAAACATACATAAAGTGTTGCTTTGACTCATTCATGCATGTATGAGAAATCCTTTAATATCTTATGGTAGCCATGTGGAACTGCCTAAATGCTGGCTGGTACAAAGCAGCACCTATTTGTACAAAGCACAGCCCTGAAGCTCAGTCCCCAGCCTAGCTCCAGTCCCTCAGAGCACCCCTGTCTGGATTATTGTGGAGCTGTGCTGAAGTGGGAGTGGCCAAAATGGTAAGTAGTTCTTAAAGAGACAGACCAATTTCAAGACGTTTAGATAGGCTATGATGCAGAAGCTCGGGGTAGTTTCCTTGGCTGCACTGACAATTGGTATTGGTAACTCAGCAGACAGACATAACATAATAACATGATATGAAACTCAAAATTAGATTTTACATGATATTGCCCCGTTAAAATTCCACAAACAAATATAGGATAATACAGATTTTATAATTAAAATTGTGAAGGAGCTCTGGTTAAAACTGCTTGGACTTCAACTTACCAAGTCCTTTTGATGTAATGACATCATTCCTAATGTAAGAATCTGTCTGTGTATTCAGACACAAGTGTGTTGGTGTGTGAACCTTCAGCACACATTATGATGCCATAAAAGTGTAATACATTGATGGCATCTTTCTTCAGTACATTTGCTTTGCCGTAAACTTGAGTTTTTATACAAAACGCTCCTCTTCACTCTTCGTCTTCTTCCTGCCTCTCTTCATTCTGTCGTTCACACAAATCTCCTTCCGCAGCCATATGTGTGTATGTGGTGTGTGTTGGATCATTTCAGTACTGAGAGTTAAGGAGGCGGTTTGGGAGGATGAAGGGTGAGGCACTGTTGGGTAGCAAGGCCCGTCCAAGTTGAACGTTTTCTCTTTTTTTTTCCACTCAAACTGGAAGTTATCCATCTCACACCCATGTAACCATCCACCCACACACAAATTCACACACACCTTTGTTAGAACACTTATGTAACGCCTGCTTTGCAACACACACAGAACAATGGCATGTACTCTCCTTTATTCACCCACAAAGAAATGGAGATAATTAGATTTCTTTTTCATTGCTATTATTTTTTATTTACAACAGTCTCAGACAACATGGATCATGTGTTCAACTGCAATCATGCTACTTCTCAGTTATCACATTCTGTCAAACGTAAACTTGTTCCAAAATCTTCATGCCCTGCTTTATTAGAAGTGGTCCATCTTCGGCATTGGAGAGAAATTACAACAAAATGTCACTGTCAATTTGTACAACAAAACAAAGTGACATAATGTTCTCTTGTCACTTTGTCTTTGTCTTGCCTTAACATTTGGGCTGACCATGTGGGCCTCCTCTCTGCAAGTTTTTCTGAAAGTCTGAGAAAAATCTGAGATCTCAGCATCAGTGGAATGTGCAATGAAAAACAAGTGAAATCCACAGAGGTCTGATCCCCCAAGTTATACGACTTCTACTTAATGCAAGGTACCTGAAATGAATCTTGGCCCTGATGTAATGGAAGGCTCAATTAAAGAAAACCGATCACATTTCATCCACCTTTCATCCACCTTAGCATGTGATGAGTCCAGTTCAGGGTCATACATTCTCTCTGATGGCGCAAATAAAACAAGCTGCTGACAGTTTAACAGAGCAATCTTTCCAGAAGAATATTTATCACCTGCTTCAAAAGTGGAGCAATAATGTTTTGTTTGCCTGTCTGCCTTAGGAAACATTGGACAAATGTTAATGATTTGTACAGAAAGTAATCATTGAACCTACATTAGTTGCACCTACAACTAATTAAACTTTAGAGCCAACCAAATTTATGATCATTGCCACAGTAAGCTGACTTTAGAAAACCAAAAACGATTATAACTGTCAGTTATTTTAATTGCATTAATAACTAGAAGCACTGGGAATGCAGACCTCCGCCAAGGCCAATTTATACTATCCTGCAATAGAGTTAATGCGCAAAAGGAGAGATGGAAACACATTTGCCGAATAAGTTCCTACGTAGCGAACATTTAAGCAGGCAGTGTGTATGGGATTTCTTCCCGTTGGAGTCCAATGCGAAAAAAAAAAGTCAGAGACAGACTCGTCACCCAACGTTATTTGTCCACAAACTGGTCCCGGATTAAGCTCCAAAGTTTTCATCAGTCAGATTCCACCATGAAAACATCTGTTTTATGCCCTTTTATTATTTTTTAGCAGTTTGACAATATCTATAAACTGCTGCTTCCGGGTACAGTTGGCTCTGGAAGCTAGTCGCCTTTTTTATTTTTATTTATTTATTTACTTATTTTGAACCAAGTGGTTGAAGCAAAATACAGCGTCTGAGTGCTTTTAGCACAAACAAACACTCCCACGAACTTCTGACCATTCTCACAATAAAGTTCTTATGTGGAAGGGGTACCTCACATGGTTGATCAGCTGATCCCGCTGTTTGCCCAGTATCGGTCTGGTGTAACACCGATACCAGTTTCGGCTCGGCTGCAGCCGCAACTAGACCTTCCCCCTGCTGTTGGCATCTTCTCAGTTATTCCCGTAACGTGAAGAGAATTGCATTTGTTTTTCTAAGTCTCCAGTCCAGACAGCAGGTAACATCGCCAATACTAGTTGATAACAGAATAATCACAACTTTCCTGATAGACATCTTGGAATGTGTAGTCCCAGCAAGTTTGCAACTTCTAATTCCTGTTTCCTACAGACATGCGTCTGACGTAACACTTTGCGTAGCCTGGTTAAGTTGCTCGAATAAAAAAAATCCTTGATCCACATCGTGATCCGGAACATCACCAAAACTTAATGGTGTGTTCCTTTGGCCAATACCCACAAATTTCCTGACCATCCGTCCACAAGTTTTGAGTAATTTTTTTCCACAGACAGACATACGTAACTGAAAACATTACCTCCTCCCTTGGTGGAGGTAAATATAACACAAATAAATGTTAAATATACATAAAGCTAATTAGAAGTGGGGGCGGCTGTGGCAGAGTGGTTAAGGGAGTTTTCCTGGAACTGGAAGGTTGCTGGTTTGATCCCCCGTCCAGCTGTCTCAGTTGCCGTGTCCTTGGGCAAGACACTTAACCCCTAATGCCTCTGATGTGTCCCATCAGTATATGAATGTGATTGGCACTGGTTAGTCTCCAAAGAGTGATTGTACATGTTAGAGTAGTAGAGACCTAACAGAGTGCTGTGTGAATGTGTAAATGAGGACACAGATTGTAGTGTGAAGTGCTTTGAGTGTCCTGGATGGATAGAAAAGCACTAAATAAGTACAGTCCGTTTACCATTTAGAAGTGGGGGTTTTCACTGATAATTTAGATATTTTTTCTAGTAACATATATGTTTTGTAACTGTACTAACTACCTTTCAACTTCCCAGCAAATGATTTTCTCTATTTTATTAGTACTTCCTGTTGTGTTACTTTATAATGCTTCATTTCTCAGATTTACACTCGTAACTTTCTCATCAAAAGTAACAATTCTTTCAATTCTCTTTCTTGATTACATCCTGACCTTTACTGTTACTTTATGCATGTTTTTGCTTTAATATGTCCTTTTTCTCATGTAAGAGGGTCTCATGGATATAAACAGTTTGTTTTAACATAGCAAAGACATAATATATTCAGTCAGGGAATGATAGTTTATTTTGAAGTACTTATTTAATATAGTTCTTCTAGATTTCAGTGCTGTGGCTGGGTAAGATTAACGGTCTTCAGTGGTCTGAGATAGGAAGCTTTACTTGTAAAATTACACAGTTTTCATTGTCCTAAAAGATATAGTGAATTACCATTGTGCATTATATGTCTGGAGTTGAAGCTTGGGAAGGATGGTCATAAATTTACTTCTAAATTTACTTGAGTTGTCACTATAAGAAGTAGTCGTGGCTTGGCCGTAGCTCGTGTCCTGGCGTGACTAAGGGACCTGGCAGCGGAAACCATTGAATGACTGCTGTTGTGTTTGTAGGTTTTGGCAAGCTCCAGCAGGAAGAGAAATCTGAGTGTTTATTGCTGGTGTACTGGGGCATGCATTTCTGCTGAGCCAAGAGCTGCTAATGCAACTTCACCCACTTCCATGTAAAGTACACACGTCAGAACACTAATATACAGAAAATACTTCAGCGTAGTGGCGTTTTTATTCTGTTGACTGGTCAGCTGAAATTATGTGACCATTATGTATAAATGGCATCTGTGAAATATTTTTTTGACTCATGCAATAATCAATTTTTTCTAAACAGGGCTTGAGATACATATTTCTTGCAAAGCACTATAAACAGTACACACTTAATTCCTGGATGGGTTTTTTAAGGATATATCTATTCTGTTCAGGCCCTTATCTTTTAGCAACATGCTATTTTAATGTTCTTTTTCTTCTCTTCTTGTTGTCTCAGAAAGTATAACATTCGTGTGGAAGACATTATGGTGCGAGATGTAAGGTACATCACTCTCAACTGCTGCTATCGAGATCTTCACAACGTCCTGACATCAGGCCACCTCAAGACTCTGGCTCTTGTGGAATCAGCTGGTAAGATACGATACATGTATGTAAATACACAGACATAAACATACATGAAGCACAAGAAAAAGAAGAAAAATACTAGTAATTTATGAAGACTAATAAGCATATGAGTGCAGAGTGTTCTATAACTTTATTAGAGTTGATTTATTTACTTTGTGTTAATTTTGTATGTGTTCCTTTCATCACCACATAGTTTTATCATGTTTTCAGTTTTTCTCATTGGAAAGAAAGCAAAATTATTTTTGAATTAAAAGGCCTAAACAGCAGAAAATAACATTTCTGCCATAATTGCACATCTGTGTTTCTTGTCTGCACTGTGATACTTTACACTTAATAGCCTGTTGCAATTGTTTGTACTGAAAATGGGTCAATTCTAATTTCTCTTGTCAAATTCTGATGGGTAACCACAGCCTATAAAACAAAGCATATCATTTTTTGTTGTTGTTGTTCTTGCACAGTCCTTTATATTATATTATAT